CCCATTGATATTCAGTGCTGGTTCCATGAGATCAAAGATGAGCTGAATATGGTGGGCCAAGGGGAGATGATAGGATGTACCCGATGCAAAGCTTGTGATTTGTTCCAGCACATTGTTGGAGATCTGTGAGAACACAAGTAAACTGAGTATATGACCGATACTCTATACAATCTTTTACTTCATTATTTCAGGCTTTCAAGTAAGGCATTTGAATTCACGTATGATTTTACTTATATGAAAGTTAAACACTTTCCGAAGAATCAAACTGTGCATAAATCATTTAATAACTGGAAAAATATAACAAACTGTCAAGATGTAGATCTTAGTGAGTCTAAAAGTATAACTACACAAGTTTTCAGATGTATCTAATTTAAACTCAATTTATAAGAAAAAAGATGAGACTTTTCCCCCCAAGTATTTTATTTCAATCCTCAACAGACTTATTTTTCCTCAACAGTGAAATGTGACCAATATATAATAATAAGCAATGCATCATGGATTGTTTTATATATTGCAATTATTATTGTAAGGTAAAAACATTTACACAATAAACATAAACTCTTGGGAAGGCAATGTGACACTTAATAGTAGTATGAAATAGTTCCAAAAAAATTGTGCTTATAAAATTAACTAAGGCTAAAAACATAGTGTACAAAAGATCTGAGAGAAAATAAGAATAGTCCAGTTACATAATAAACAGGCTAAAATGGCTACCTGAGATGTCACTTGATGCTGATCAAAATAAGAAAGGAGCTGGAGTTTTGTGAAGACAGTTTCGAGGGTTGGAAATGATTCTTGTTTGTTCTTCCTGGCTTTTAGCCCTTCGTCCCCAGCTAAATAAGCATAAAACAGATGGTTGGGTTTTTTTTTTTTTTTTGTCTATTTAAGTAAAGCTCTTCATTTTTTAATAGGTAATTTTTATTAATTTATAACATATGTAGAAAAAGTACATATACTCTGAGTATCCACAAATGCAATGATGTCCAAATCAGAAAGCAGCACCCCGGAATTCCAGAAAGCATTTAGCCCTCTCTCCCTTCACAGGGCACTAAGATCCTGAATTCTGACAGCTTAGAATAGTACTGCCCATTTGGGAAGTTTATATAATTGAATCATACAGTATACAATTTTCATATGTGGCATCTTTTGGACAACATGTTTTTTTGTGTGTGTAGAACTGAGAATAAAACCCAGAGGTACCTTACAACTGACCACTGAGCTACTGCCTAACATTGTTTTTATTTTTGGAGGCAGAGTCTAATTTGCACAGTCTGGACTCAAACTTACTATCCCTTGCCTCTGTCTCCCGAGTATTACACGCATGCACTACTGTTCCCAGCCACATCATGCTTTCAAGTTTGACTCATTGTTGGGCTTGGAAGTATAGCTCATTGGTGGTGTAGCTCATTGGCAGAGTGCTTGACTACAATGCCTGAGACACTGGATTCAATCCCTGACACAGCATCAAAAAAAAGATTGACTTGCTAATGTAATTTTGATTTGTTCTAAAAATCAGTAATTATAACTTTGGTGCAGTATTACAATGTATATCTTTCCCACCATTTTATTTTCCTTTCTCACTAGTACTGTCTAGAATTTGAGTATCATGAACGTGTCTTTATCATTAAATGACTATTAAAATTCAATGACATCAACCATGGAGAAGGATCACTCAGTCCCACTTTGATGCTATAAGCCCCTTCAGTAGCATTTTCTATGGACAGTCACCTCTATACTTATCTGAATCAGTTTAATATGTAAAAAGAGAAAAGAAATTTACATGATGTGTAACATTTTTAGGAAGGACCTAAATCACTCGACATTAATGGGAAGGTTCTATCAATTTATCATAAAGAAGTACGAAGAAAATTCCATTAAAAATATTACATTATTTCAGAGGGAATTTTGTTCTTAACAGTACTAAGAATAAGATCCAACTAGATTCACTTCTACTTTTAAATATATTTAGTATATGTATTTACAAAGAAAAATCTAAAAAGAAAAGTGGTTATATGATTTTGAAGGTCATTCTCTACACTATGATGCTAAGCAGTGAAAAGGCAGCCACTCATAGCCTTATTATTCATACTGTCTCCTTGTTATGGAAAGTCTAATTTGAAAAAACAAATTATACTTTACAGATTTCTCTATTAAAGGCACAATAAATGAGCAAAATATTACTGAAGTAAAACATACTTTGCTGATGGAAAAAGTAATGCATTCAGAAAGTATCATTAAAAAAGACTTCCGTTTCAACAATAAGCAATTAGTATTTAAAGTCCAGCACAAAAACAAACAAAAGCTTATTATATTGCAAACTGCTAAGAAAAACAGATGTCCAATCTAGAATTAAGAGGTGTTAGAGTGATATAAGTTATAAGCCAGTGACACTTTCAGTGGTATACAAGACAAGTGCAAAGAATGAGAACTAGTAATTTTATTACATATACTGAATTTTCAATGTCTATTCTCATAAACACAAATTAAGAATTCAGTTTTGCCTTTGTACAGCAGTTTATAGCTCATGAGTATGTTTGAAATATCCAGTTTTGATTTTTTTTCATTTCCTCACATCAGTAGTCTCCCATTTACTCATATAGGACTAAGTCCTTAGAACCTCACATAAAAAGATGTAATAGGTTCTTGGAAATTTATATCCACTTTAAAAGAAAAATGTGGGAGAGTGATGGTGGTTCTCAATGAAATGTTTATTATAATATTTACATGAAAACAATGTCATAATTCATCGATTTTAAAATCTATTTTACGTTAACTTGCTTTCGTAACATTCTTTTGTTCTACAATTTTAACTTTCAATGTTTAAAGTTCTTAAATCCAGAAAATGTTGACCTTTTAGGTTTTACAATAGTAAACTTCATTAATGCTTTCAAAAAAACTGAATAACAACCAAAAAATGATGACTAGTCAATGAAAATATAAAATGAAGTTTGAGTATGTTTAACTGGAAATGTCATTTAAACTTTAGAAAGTTTGCTAAGAAAGCCTGGCTGATAAGTTTATACTTTTATGGGATGGTTCTTGAAAGCCTTATTTGTTTGTATTCCCAGGATCAAGCACATGCTAACACATACTCATTATCAGTCCTCATTTTGCTGGGGTGAGCAAATTTCTATCTGAAAAAGCAACAAAACAATTATTTTCTGTAAGTGAATTTGCATCACAGAAGAGCCTATTTAAGGCACTGATACAAAAACAGGACAGATTATAGTCTGGCACTTAAAATAATGGGAAAGAAGCACAGTGAACAAAAAAATTCTTCCATTTCCTGCCTCCTTCAGCATTTTAAAACCAGTAATTCCATAGGATCTGAAGACTCTCTGGAAATAATTTAGATAAAGTATATACATCTGAATCTCTTACAGGAGACAATGACTCCCCCATTTCCAAATATATCAAAAGTAATGTGAAATATTTTCTGCTATCTAGCTGCGCGGTTTCTAAATTCAATCTTCTAATGCAATTCATTTCCTCTTTTCTCTAAGAGAGAGAAAACATCACACCAATTTAGTTTTCCTAGACAGAGCACTTTTCTTTTTCAAGCTCAGTAACAATAAGCCAACAAGAGGGTTTCATTTCCCTTCTACAACTTTTGGTTGTTCCCTCTTGGTGTTAGGTCATTAACTAGCAATGGAAAAGAGTTAGGGAATGTGATGTAAACCCTATGACAGTCACTTTCTCACTGTGTTCTAAAGACTATTTTCTAGACACCATCTACTGACTGAAGCACATGTTGCCCCTTCTACTGCTTCTGCATGTGCACCTTTACTGACGGAAGAAAGTTATTTGAAACATCTGTACCTAAATTTTTCTTTAAGAAAGATCTAGCAGAGATTAGTTCAAGCATTGTACCCTGTTAAAGTGTAAAGACTGGATCTTCCAGGGAGAAATTCATACAAAAGTATATTAGGTTTCCTAGAGGAGGTTAACACCACACATAGGAAGAATGCTATTTATACAGAGTTAATCCAAACACTCTTTGTCTTTATATTATTGAAGCATTAGAAAAAGAAACAACAGTGGTGGCAGAGGGGAATATATTATAATATCATATTTTAGGTCCTGTGATTGCATAAACCTTGAAAGGAGTAAATAGGCAAATGTTCCAATTTTAGTATATGTGCTGCCGAAGTGAGCACGTAATTAGGCAAATGTGAAGTAGATAATTAAAATTTCTAATTATGCAATGCAGTAACATAATATAAAGGTATAGCTTCATTGTAAATATGTAAAAATCACAGGGCAAAGAAAATTCTGAGTAAAGAAGGCATTACTGCCAAAGATCCGATTTTATATTTTACTCAAAATTATTTGGTGATTCAGGTAGGTATCACTACTTATTGTAATTCTTCTGGATATAGTAAAAAAAAAAAAGTTCAGCCACTATACTGTCATGATTTTCAACTAATAGGCAAATGTTAGTGCTCCAGCATTTTACAAGCCTGAAAAATCATGGTAAAGAAACAGGGCGATGAGACTTCAACCAGAATAATGGTTTTCCAACACATTCTTCAGTACTTTATTACTGGTGTAGAAAATTTGGAATGTATACCAAAGGAGAAGACAATAAAAATTACCTTTATCATCTGTAGAATATGGTATTTTAATACGAAGATTGCTATTAATGGATACAAGGTCTTAACGTTTAAATGTGCTTATTCATATTACAATGTGACAGTCACTGAGGAGAGGAAGCACTCTAGTGACAGTGACATATAACGATAAAGACTGCATGAAGGAAGACAAAATAAAATTAAGCAGGAGCCAATGCATTAAGGCTCTTTACCCCCTGTCTCTGTGGTGCTCTTCTTATTTAGGATTTTCAAGATATCTTTGGTAATCTTCTTCAGCTGATGCCTGGCTTCGTCACGCTCTTTGCCAACTCCATAGAGAAGGATTGTGCGCTGGTTACATTCATGACTTGAAGATTCATCCTGAAAAACAGAAAATGTATTCTGAGACTCTCGTTTGCAGAGGTGGGCTTGCTGTCCATATCCCTGAATCGCATTAACTGCAGCACCTCTTACTGGGTTCCAGTGGTGGCATCCCACCCATCCTACAAAGCACCTCAACCTCCATCCACTGGCAAAACATTTGTTTTCCCAGTCTGGACTTGCTAAAGTTAAAAAAAAAAAAAAGTGTCAACTGACCTGAAGTTTTAATAGAAGCATTTGATGTGGGCATACCCTACAGAGTAAGTTGTGGCTATTAAAAAACTTTTCATTGCTTAAAATTGAACATGGTATTAATTTCATATCATGTAACATACTATTATTTGTACTTTCTCCTTGAGGAAAATGTTATTTCTTAGTAAGCTTTGTTTTATATATGTAGCAGTGCTATATATTATATTTTGGGGAAAATTTTACTGGGGTCCCTTCAAGTACCTTTAGAAAAAATATCTCATTTATTTACAACTTTGCTGTTAGAAATATTTCTATTTATCCTTCAAATGGTAAAGTAGAAAAGACTGAAGCTCTCCCTCAGCGTGAGGTAAAGAGCTGAAAATGCAATCATGTTCTAATGCCACCACTCTTCCCTTTCCCAATAAGTCCAAACACTGTATTTTCCCACCTGGGAAAAGAAATTACTTAATTCAGAACACAGCAGAAATAGATATATACCGCTAGTACATTCCTCAGCCAACTTTAGTCCAGAATGAGTTCTCATTTTAACACACAGTTGTAATTTTTCTAGATCTTCTGTTCCCTGGGATCTTATACTGTAGTCTTCTATTTTCTGGGTAAAATTTCCAGCTCTAACCCTATGTTTTTCCTTTTCTGACCCTCTGCACAACTTTGTCCATGGCAAGCATTTACTTTTCCTACGAGCATCTTATCCAATGAAGCTCACAGGAAATATAATCTCAACCCAATCCTTCATAATGAGCTACGGCTGCACCGAAGAGCAGAAACCTTTAGACCTGGAACTCTGGTCTTTATTCTGGAGTACTAAATATGCGTGTTCAGCACAAAGTAGCACTTTGCTTCTGTAGATGTAAAGTAAGAAGCTGTATTCTGCTCCAGTTCTGTTACTTTGCTCATGGTCTCTTATCATCCTGTTAGTCTTTCCCTTGTGAACACATCTCCATCTGGCCACACTTCCATGGCACCCCTTCCTTTCTATTATACTCTACTAGAAATATACATTTGCATGCCCACCTTATTTATCTGGCTGCATCCCTCCATGAACTTGTGATGCTTCAAGAGTTCAAATTTGCTACAAGGAGAGAGCTAGGAGAGAAGGGGGAGAAGAGGGGGGAAGGAGGCTCCCAAGAGGATGTTCCTATTTAAAAAATTCTCAGCCCTAACTGTAGGAAACAAGGGGTGATGGCAGACAGGTGCTAACAGGTAGACTCTTATACTAAGCCGCACAACTGAATAAGCTTGGTTGCTTGTTAAACCCCAACTTTAGTTACTGTTACAGAGCATTGCTAGCATAGCTCTTTGTCTGGCAAGATGTATTCCTAGAAAGAGGATAGAGGACACTTAGAACACTGCAAAACCAGGTGCTTGGTCATTCCAGTTAAGGTGCATGTCAAACGGTCCTAAATCAATGTCTGTGTGAGAGGTGATGGAAGGAGAGCAAAATTATCTGACGACTCTGTAGACTATGTACTTAAGGTAAGCCAGGGTAGGAATACTGAAAAAATACAGTGAAGATTCCTGGTCTTCAAGAAGCACAGGTTCCAGTCAAAAAGAGTTATTATAGAACGAGAAGTCCAAATGGAGATAGTGAGCATGTGCTTATCCCAACAGCTCAGGGTAAACACAGACTTACACTGTACTCACAGTAGCCCAAGCTTGGGGCTGTGACTGCATCCCAGTCCTACCAATTAATAGCTCCATGATTCAGTAAAATGAACTTTTTGAGGCCCAGACTCTTGCCCTGAAAAAAATGGGGAAACACCATCTTTGGGAGGATAACCGAGATAAATGCTTAGGAGTATGCTGGACACAGTTCTCAAGGATGAAAATTCATCTTCAAGACTTCTTACACTCTTGACGGCCCCTAGGCTCCACAATGTACTGCACTATTGAACATCTGCTACACAGACTGGTATGATTTCCTTCCATTACTATTGCTCTTCCTACCACCTAAAATATTCTCAACAGCTTCAGCTGCACTTGCTGCAATGCTATTGTTGTTGGTTTAGTTTATTTTTGGTACATGGGATTGAACTTGGGCCCTTGTGCTTGCGAGGCAGGCGGCGGAACCAATGAGCTAAATCCCTGGCCCTAAAATGCTATGTGCAACTGCAGTGTCGGGTCACTCTGACACCTTGTTTATGGAAACCCTTAGCATTAAGGCTAGAAAGGGAAAGAGAGTTGGGAAGGTTTGTCATAGTGTGATTCAATTTTCTAGGTATTTTCTTGATGTTCGTCTTTCCTGCTGGACTGCAAATTTTGAGAGAAACTTCATGTCTGTTTTATTTATTCTTTTATTCTCCTTCATAAACATCAAGCTGGCACTTAGGATTTGTCAAGTACACCAAATACAAAACTGGACTAATGAGCTAACATACGGTGAAAGGAACAGGACACGACTAAAGACAAAAACAGATTAGCTTCGTAGGACACTTAACCTGATTGATAGCAAAGTAGCAAGAAAACTGAAGCGAAGAAGTGAGTATCAAGTAGAAAGTTTGAGCAAAAATGTTTGAGGGTGAACTGAGTCTTAGTGGTGAGAAGGAGAACTACCCAAGATGTATCTGAAGGAAGTTAGGAAAGCATTGGGTGTCTGAATCTATGGAGTTGGTGTGCATCATAATGGATTTCAAGAACAATCTGTTGGTGAAAAAAAAAAGTACATTATGAGGGCTGGAAGGATACAAGTGCAAAGCCCTGGAGGAATAGATGGAAATGTATGTATAATTACTATGTAGCTATTAGTTTGATGCCATCACTAGTGCAGGTGACAGGGATAAGTACAATGTGACCAGTGCTGGGAGGGGTATAAACCTCCACGTTTTCCTTTTATGGGAGAAGACTAAAGACCACAGATGATATAATTCAACAATTAATAAGATGCTCTGATAAAAAAGCAGGGTCACAGAAATCAGGAGACACATGAGAATATGGGCCATCAACAATGTCAATGGCTTGTTTACTAAAGCGTGTGAACCTCAAAAGAAGTTTCTCTAGAGTCGTAAAGGAAGAAAGCAGGAAACAAGGGTTGAAGAGATGATGATAAAATAGTGATGGTTAGAGAAGTGACTCACATTTACTACAAAAAGAACATGAAGAACAACAGCTTGAGAGGAAAGAAAAAATTTATTTGGATAATCAACTTCAAACTCTTGTTTCAAAGCTGTGATTCAAATAAAGAAGTTTCCACTGGGCCAGGATTTGGCTCAGTGGTTCCACCGCCTGCTTTGCAAGCACAAGGACATAAGTTCAATCCCCAGTACCAAAAGAGAGACAGAGAGACAGAGACAGAGACAGAGACAGAGAGAGAGAGAGAGAGAGAGAGAGAGAGAGACTGGGACCTTGTTTAGATTCATATGGAAAGAAAAGCATATCATTCTACCTGAGGGTGGGTGTCATAAAAACAAAGGGACATGTGGAGGTGAAGAAGTGAGAAACTTAAAGACACGCCAATCGGTTCATTGACTGAATACGTTTAGGGAGTTGAGTCAAGAAAGTAGGTTGGGTCTTGTTAGTGAGGGGAATAGAGTAAAACGGCAGAGAAACATGCAGTTAGCTAGAAAAAACCAGTGATTAACCCCTAAGTGGGGTGTGAAGACAGAATTTGTTTCTTATAACTAATACCTCCAGGAAAAATCACAATAGCTGCTATTGTACTAGCTTTCAAAGAGGACAGATACAGACATTTTAAAGCTACTTTTTGTTCAGTAGCCTGTAAGATCTGTTTATACAATTTGTTTTATATAAATAGGATGTACATTTTTCAAACTGCCATTTATACTGAGTGATAAAGTGGTCACCCTATGAAAAATATCAAATGATTCCAAAGGTACCAAAGACTTAAACATTCCCAAGTGCATGTATAGTTGTGTTTTTGCTTTCTCATTGAGTTTATTGGTACATTTTAGGGATACAGTACAGTTACATTTATCATTGGGATGTTGTACCTTTACATGACAGGTCTTGGTTCTCATTTTTTCCCCTTGTCCCTGCCCTCCCTTTATCCCCTCCTCCCTTCCCTATTTACAAATACTTTATTTCCATTTCTTTCATTTTCTCATTGTTTTAATTGTTTATTGGTACATTTTAGGTATACAGTACAGTACAGTTACAAGTTACATTCATTATTGGGATCTTGTATCTTTTTTTTTTTTTTTTTTTTTTTTTTTTTTTTTGGTTTTTTGAGACAGGGTCTCACTATGTAGTTGAGACTGACCTGGAACTCATTATGTAGCTTAGGCTGGTCTCGAACTCACAGCAATCCTCCTGCCTCAGCCTCCCAAGTGCTGGGATTACAGGTGTGAGCCACCACGCCCGGCAGGGATCTTGTACCTTTACATGACAGGTCTTGGTTCTCATTTTTTCCCCATAACCCAACCCTCCCTTCATCCCCTCCCCCTCCCCTATTTACAAAGTCTTTGTTTCCATTTCTTTTTCATATTTTTTCTTTTCCCTTATTACCTTTCCCCTACCCTTCTCACTTTCCCTACACCTTTAGCCCTTTTCTCCCTATTTCACATTGTCAGTTATACCATTAGGATCTTATGTACCATTATAGTTTTCCACACGAGAGAAACAATTCGGTATTTACACATGTGTGACTTATTTATTTCACTTAGGAGTATATCCTCAATATGTATCCATTTTCCTATGAAAGACTCTAGCTTCTCATTCTTTACAGCTGAGTAGTATTCCATTTCATAGAAAAAACACATCTTCTTTATCCAGTCTCCAACTGATGGGCAAATGGGCTGTTTCCAAGTTTTAGCTATTACAAACTGTGCTGCTATAAATATGGGTGTGCATACATCACTGTGGTATGACTCTTTTAATCCTTTTGGACAGATACCCAGCAGAGGGATGGCTGGGTCAAATGGAACCTCTAGTCCCAGTTCTTTGAGGTATCTCCATATTGATTCCCATAGTGGTTGCATCAGTCTGCACTCCAACCAACAAGAGAAGTAATAGTAGTGATCTCAGTTCAGGACCAGAAAATCACTCTATAGGTCATCCTTGAAGGATACATTCCTTAAGCAGGAAAAAGAATCAAATGGAGATTTGATTCCAGGAAGAGCCAAACTATCTCTTTTAAGTTTGCCCACCTGCTGCTATTGGACTGAATGGGACATCTTCCCAATGAATTGATCTGAAAACGTCATCTTCCAGATCACTTTTTTCCCTTCACAGACATTACCTCACACTCACATAGACTTACACAAGAAACTAGGAGGAAATACATCCAAAACTGTGGTAGGTTTATTGCACTACAGAAATTAATATATGTTTCTTCAGCCAAACCTCTTTAAAAGGAAGAAACAGAGTTAACAAAATTGAGGTCAGATCTAAGTCATTTTAATTTCCTTGAAATAAATGACTAGAAATGTTGTCAAAATATGTGTTAGAAAGATGTGAGATTATCAGAGCTCCTTTCATCTTATTCATATTTTCTGATATTTTTACATGATTCAATAATCATAGTTTTAAAATTATTAAACTAATGTTTAAAGGAAAAAAGAATCCCATTGTTCATGTACGTTTTTCTTCCAAATACTTATGGTTAGATGAAGTAGATGTAATTTTCCTAATAACAGAAAATACAGCATTTCATACTTCCCCTCTATTCTATGCTTAAATGTTCAGATAGAAATATAGTACACATTATAGAATAAATTGCATATAATATCCTGCCTCTTCCATTAGTAGTATAGCCAGCTTTACAACAACCTGAACTCATCATTTACTAAATGAAAAAGAAAAAAGAAAAAGAAAAGTAAGAGTTCTCAACAGATGTCTTTAAACATTATTTTTTTCAGCTGAGTTAAAATCAGGACAAAGTTAACTTGAACAAAGGTGTTCCTTAATTCTCAAATTCCTTGAGAACCCTCACATGCATCTTCAGAAAGGTAGTATAATTTAAGGAACTTGAATCTGTTTTCCTTTAGTGGGGTAGACTGACTTAAAGAAAATGATCATGGCTTTCTTAGAATCTTTGTCTTATCTGAATAAAGAAACATATCATAAATATTCTGCAGAGTGTATAGCTTGATATAATCTGCATTTCATTTAAAGAAGTGTACCCATTCCACTCCAATCTTTCACCTCTCACTCCTGGGCCAAGAGGTGTGTACGTGTGAGGGAAGGGTCACAGGTACCGTGCGCAGCTCACAGCAAAATGTGGGCTTTGGAACCAGATGACTGGAGCGGTCTCCAATGACCTTCCCAGCTTTGCTTCTGTTTCCTTCATCCAGGATGGGGATAAAATAAGTACAGTACTTACTTCAGAGAATAGCGGAGATGAGTGAGTCCAAGACAGTAAAAGAAATCAAACGTCGACTGTTACTATTTTAAAACATAAAACTCTTCTTAAAAAGTATAATTTTAGGTATCCAAACCAACAAATAAGAATGACTAAGCCATATTATAATATTAAATTTTTAAACGTTTAAAATCAAGCTAATGCTCCTAGATGGCCGACAGTAACTGAACTTTGCAACTGAAATGAGTAAAACTGATACATGCAGTTGGCTGCAAATTTCTTATGACAATAAAATTCTTATGTCCATTTAAATCAGAGGCCTCAAACTTTTGTTTGCTTGAGCATCACATGGAAAGCTCATTAAAACATAGATGGAGGCTGGTACACCCCAGTTTCTGATTCATGGGGACTAGTTGATAATCAAAAATACACATTTCTAGGTGAGTTTCAGTATTTTGAGAATCAATATTGAAGAAATAACTGCAAATATAGACACACTCCCAAAATTCAAAAGAAATGATCAAAATATGTATTCTTAGCAAAAGAACCTACCTAAAGGATTTTACTGCTAACAGAAGGAAAATACAGTTCGAGATGTTATGCTCTGTAAGGTATAGTGGCAATAACTTTTACCTCTCCAGTTTCTCCCCTACCACAGCTTTCTCCCTTTAGGGTTAAAATAATTGTACATATTAGCAATACAAGTTTCCATAATTTAACATTATCATTCTAATTTCCCCAAAATTTAAAGCTACATAAAAAATATTTTTAAACAACGTGTTTATATTTAAATCCTGTTTAAGAAAAGGATGAAGGACAAGGTTGCTTTATATAATAAGTCTGGCAATGGATAAAACTGCTTTTCTTTTATAATGTAATTTTGAAATCTGATCACTTATAATGGGAGGAAACTGTTTTGCCTACAAAGAAGTTGATCAAACACAGACTTAAAGTAATGACATTATTAACCAGGGAAAAAACAAAAGGCAAGAGCCTTAACATCCCTAACCAGCACACATTCTGAGTTAATGTAATTACTTGCTAGAAGGTAATGTATCATCCAGTATGGAGCACAGTATGTTTTCAGGTGAATGACTACCTCAGAAAGCAAGCCTGCAATCTCCAGGAAGCAAACTTTGAAGGCTTGATCTCAACCTGGATTTACAATTTATAGGGGAAAAAAACAAAAGAACTCCAAATAATAAATAGAACTTCAGTAAAAAGCCAAAAGATTTTAAACTGCTTTTTAAAAGATGACTTCTCAGCCACCTTTGACCCTCATTCCCCAGGCTAAAAGCAGAAGTCCTAAAAGCAGACAGATGGAAATTCAGTATCTGCATAGTTTTCAGTCCACAGTGCTTTGAAGGTAATCTCTTTCTCTCTCTCTCCCTCTCCCTCTCTCTTCTTCCCTCTCTCTCTCTCTCTCTCTCTCAACTACTCAAGACTTGACTGATGAAAACTTAGCAAATTCTTAACCACTAAGTGGTTTACCAACTACATTAAGAATTTAGAAGAAAAATACCAGACGCCACTCTGCAAGTTGCATTAACTGTCACTCCTGGAGACGTTCAAATCCTTCAGAAACAACAGAATAACAAGGTAATGTTAATATATCTAGAAGTATTTGATAAATATGTATTTATACCATGGTAGATGTTTAAGTTTTTAAAGTTTTAAATTGAAAACCTTAAATAACAATACCACTGCAAGCACATATTTGGAAATTTAAAATACAAGTTATGTTAATATCAGTGACAATCATTAAGCTTTTCAGTTAAAAAAAAAAAGTCCAAAGCACAGAAATAAATTACAAATGGTTTTACTTGACTATGAGATTTAAGCAGAGTGGGAGCCAAAATGCTTGCTGTCAGGTATACTTATTAAATAATTTATTCATGCAAAGCCTTTATAAAGAATTGCTGAAACTGTCAGAGAATGAACAACTAAGAAATGTAAAACTGTGGTAAAGGTTAAAATTAATGATATCAGTGATATTGTATCAATAAAATATCCAGCTTTGTATAGTTCAAGAGTTGAGTAGGTGGGAGGTTTTGAAAACTGAAACTGACTTGTAAATGTGTGATTTTTAAATTGTTTTTCTTTTAATAATTACAGGATAAAAAAGAATTTCGTTAATATTTTGAGAAGTTTAGAACTAGTTTCATTTGTTATGTTAAATCTTTTGTAGGAAAGTATTTTTTTCTTTTAAATTTAGATAGTTGTATTTTCAACATGACTGTCAAATTATGAGGAATAGTATTTTATGAAGAATTTTGTCCTTGAAGCAATAAAATATCACAAATTTCATGTCAAGTTTCAAAACATAGATGTCAGGTAATTAATTTTCTTTTGGTAATAAGAAATCAGAGAAGGACATGGTTTTGCTGTTTTATTTTAGGTACCATTATATACTCCGAATACCAAAAA